AAAAAAAGTAAATTTTGGGGTAAGTTACTCTTTTAAGTTCTCGCCGGAGTACAAGAATGCTTGTCTCCTTGCTTTTATGGAGACATGGCTCAAAGATCAAGATCCACAGACTGACCTAGTGATTGATGTATTTGGAGAACCCGTCCGCTTGGACAGAGATCCCTCGGTGACGGGGAAATCACTGGGGGGTGGCTTATGTCTGTACATTAACAAGAACTGGTGCAGTACAGTAATAATCAGGGAGACACTGTGTACCCCTGATATTGAATTTTTATCTGTTTCACTCTGTCCCTTTTACCTACCAAGGGAATTTCCGCAGCTATTTGTGACCCTTGTTTACCTACCTTGTTTACCTTGATGACCTAACAGAGATGGTTTCAGCATATATTACCTTTTGACAAGATATGGTCATTCCACTCAAACAAGTTTCCTTTTTTCCAAACAACAAACCATGGATCTTTAAATCTGTTAAAACATCATTAATCTGCGCAATATTTGTTTTCAACAAGGGGACACTACCAAGTACAGAGAACTACAGAAACAAGTCAAGAAATAACTTAAGCTTGCTAAATGTAGCTACAAAGATAGAGTAGAGAGGCTCCTTTGTGCTGGTCACTCCCTCCCAGCTTGGGAGTGGGTAAAATTCATGATGGGTATGAAATCTGGGAAATGTTCAATATCCTCTGGCAAAATGTCTGATTACGAGTTCTCAAATGATCTAAATACCTTTTTTAAACTGTTTTAATGTTCGTGAATTTACTTCAGAGCAATCCCATTTTAAAGATACAATAGCAGGACAAAATTCTGTCCAGGTAGATGAGGGTATGGTCCAGAAACTTTTCCATGGTGTGAAGGAGGGGAAAAGTCCGGGTCCTGATGGTATTGGTGGTTGCTTACTTAAGAACTGTGTGGGGCTGTTATCTGACATTTTTTGTTATATTTTCAGATACTCCCTCTACCTCAATAAGGTCCTGCATCTATGGAAAGAGTCAATCATTGTCCCAATCCCTAAAAACAGAGTTCCTAAACAGATGAATGACTACAGGCCTGTAGCCCTTACATCCTTAGTTATGAAGTCACTTGAGAAAGTAATCAAGACAGCCCTCTTAACTACTGTTAAAACCAGCTTGGACCCACTGCAATTTGCCTACAGGCCCTGCAGAGGGGTGGAAGACGCTCCATGCACTTTACTGAACTTGGTTCTTTCACACCTTGAGGCAGCTAAAACTTTTGAACATCTTATTTTTATTGATTTTTCTTCTGCTTTTAACTGCATACAKCCACATATTCTAGCAGACAGGTTAAAAAGTATACATAAAATTAAATCAGGTCTCATATGTTGGCTAATGGATTTTTTAACTACCAGATCTCAACGTGTCAGAGTCAATGATGTTTTATCTGATGCTTTGCTCTCTTCCACTGGTTCTCCACAGGGTGTGTTCTGTCCCCCCTTTTATTTGTTTTATACACTAATGTGTTAGAGCTAGTTCGCAGGACGGCATATTTTAAAGTTTACTGACGATTCCCTCATTGTGTCTCTTTTAAAGTCRGATGACCCTGATCATGGTCCAGTGGTGTCACATTTTATTAACTGGTGTAAGTCATCCTTTCTAGACATAAACGTCAACAAAACCAAAGAAATGATTATTGACTTCAGGAAAAACACAAATGCCATTTCTCCTGTGTACATTAATGCTCAACAAGTTGACGTTGTGGAGGAATATAAATATCTGGGTACTGTAATTGACAACAAACTCATTTAACCAACATGTGGACACTGTATGCAAGAAAGCCCATCAACGTACAGTATGTACTTTTATCGTAAATTAAGGAGTTTTAACATGGACARTAGTTTTGTGAGAATGTTTTAATTGCTGTTTTATTGAATCTATTCTTACTTTTTCTTTTATTTGCTGGTATGGGCTTTTGACACAGAAAAACAAAAAACGCATACACCATATTGTCAGTCTTTGCAGTAAAATCGTTAATGTCCCATTAAATGACATCACTACTCCACAGAAACAGATCCTTGAAGAAAGCTCAGGCAATTTTAGCTGAGTCTGACTACCCCCTCTTGACAGAGTTTTCTCTTTTGCCACCAGGACACAGATTTGCTGTAAAAAGATGTCGAACCAACAGATTTAAGAATTCCTTTTTACCTGCTGTTATCGTCATTTTAAACACTTCTTGTTGATTGTTGTGTGTTTGTAGTTTTTACACCTATACCATGATGGTTTTTATGTTGTTGTTTTTCACGGTATTTGTGGTTGATGATTGTTTTTGTTCCTGCTGGCTGTGACACAAATTGCCCCATGGGGATATTAAAGATTACTTGACTTGGGTACTCGTCAATACAGAGAACTTACTTACTTCTTAGTTAGAAGCAAAACATTACACAATACCTTTAAAACACTTTTTTTTATTTAGAACAAGGTGGCTCTTCTTCYTTTATAGACCCACAGCCCTTCTGAATGGATCAAATCAAATGTACAGCATGATATACTGTTGTAACATTTAAAGATTTTCTTTCAACTTGTATAAATTACTTAAACATAAAATTGACAAACCTTTCACTTGAAATGTAAACTGTAACRCGTTGAATCAACACCACTATTGATTGGTATTGGTTCTGTTCTGAGTATTGGGCATTTTGCCTGATACAGATGCTAGTGTCAGGACACCACTAGTATGAAGTATGAGGCACGTTATATAAATCAGTCGCCATTTATAAACTACAAATTTGTCAATATCATAAAGTAGTTAGTTGTTTTCAGAGGGAGGGCAGCTGTGGTGCAGAGGTCACAGAAGGCAAGCCTGTGATCAACAGGCTGCTGTTTCAAATCCTCTGACCATTACATCAGGAATGAGGGTGTAAAAGGTGAAGCACCTGCTTCCACCTTCATTTGCTGTGCCCTTGAGCAAGGCTCTTAACCACCACAGCTGCTGCCCCAAGGCTGCCTAAGATGGCAGCCTCYTTCTCCACACATGTGGGCTGTGGTAGCTTGATGGTCAGAGCTTGGGTCATGAAGGGTATCCAGCGTAACAACAATTAGCAGATCTTTGTTTGATGAAGGGGAGTGAGGGGAAGGGACTTTTTGTGTTTCTTCTTTAATAATTAGTGTTTTTCTTTTTTAAACTTAATGCCAAAGAAAATAAATTAATGACAATTTAAAACAATTATACATCTCTTCAGTCTTTGAACACGTGTGTGTGTGTGTGCGTGCATGGGTGCGTGCGTGTGTGTGTGTTCTGCATTCCAATCCCAGTCTTATGAACTGCCTTTGTATTCGTGGCAACAAAACCACTGATTCATTGTAACTTATCTTTTTCTGCAAGTCTCACTAAGTCACGTTAAAGTATAACGTCACTGAAACACGCTACAAATGATGACCTAAACATCACAAGTAAAAAGTAGAAACTATGCAAATGTGTTCACTTCATCCTATTTTAGTTGKTTTTTTTTTGTTTGTTTTTTCTGCTGCAGTGTGTTGGTGAGGAGAACTGGGTGGACAGCAGGACAGTTTACATCAGCCATAAGGAGCCTCCTCCAGGAACTGAAGCTTTTATTCAGCAAAGATTTCCTGACAACAGAATAGTCTCCTCCAAGGTCAGTAAAAGCATCTAGAGGTCCACATCAAGCGTGCTGCATTAAAGGTTTTATTGAAGTATAGAAAGCTCCGGGTAATTAAAGACTTTTTATTCTTTCCTCTTCAAAATCGTTTGTGCATCGTATCTAAACAGAGTAAAATGTCACAGAAGAGACGGGCAGCAAGAAACCACTACGTCACTGTTCAGATTGTTTATTTTTTTAACTGTGTGGGCGACTTTAATTAAAACAGCTCACTGAATGAGTCATTTTGACAGGGATGTGAAGATTGTTGTAGCTCTGAATCACTCTAATAAATTGTTCTTCTATTTATTCCTGTTTGGTTTKTCTACTTGTTAGTGTCCTCTATTAATCACAACAGTATGACTTCATTTAGTCTAACCTCAAAAACCAGTGGATTACAGATGAGTTGCATTCAGTGGGAGCTKTGATGTTGTGTGAGGAAATCTGGAGTGGCAGAGAAGTCTGTTAGACAGGACATGTTTGAGGACAGCAGGACATGTCTGAGGACAGCAGGACAGTGATAAGATGAGCTGTAGGAGTGACAGATAGCTTCAACWCACAGCTGCTCTCATGAACCCARCTGAGCTGCAGCCAGAGCAGAAACATGGTGGAAGTCATCAGATTCTTAGTGACGTTTTTTTATTTTGAAACATTTCCCAATGGYGGGCTGGAAAGAAGTAAAGTTCTCTGTAAGCACTGAAACGCTAAACCGTTTCACCACTGGAGCAGTTTGARCCTGRAACATCGCTTCAGTTTMAAACYAGTGTAAACAAACAGAGGGAGGTTCTGCAGATGAGGCTGACCAGCGTGTTAGAGAAGAGAAAAAAAGTAAGACCGGCTTGTTTGAAAATGCATCGCCCCTTTTTAAGTATAAACCAGTACCTAAAAAAAATGCTCCAAACGTCTTTAAGTCAGTTCTATTTTGTGYAGAATAATGAGGTTAAATCATGGATTCAAGGATTTTTCGTTTTTTCATTCCAAACGAGTACTACATGAGGAATGAAAGATAGATAAGGAGATCAAAGTTGTGAGCAAAACTAAATAAATGAATGAAATGAGCCATAAAGAGATAAAAAGAAAAAATGTACATAGTGTGTCACATGGAGTATATGGCAACATACAAGCCTACACATTCAGCCATAGTAGAGTGATTGGGCCTCATGCAAGAACATGTTCATATTCTTATCCTAAATTTCTCTTACTT